ATTACAAGCCAAACATACCACCTTAGTACAATCTTAGAATGCTTATATAGCATCACATCTCATTGTATTCAAAGGAATTTAATTTCAAATGATTGTGTATAAAATTGCAACGCCTGAGTGATTTGTTAACTGTAAATCTGGAGATATGGAATGTGCTATAGAAGCTGTTCTTTGGGAGCTGTCCCTACATAACTATTTAAACTCAGACCTTTTATTTACAAGTAAAATAGCCCACAACCATATCTAAGTGTTTGAAAGTGCCTTTTCAGTGAAAATAAATATCTCTTTTGGCATAAAAAAGGATTTGCAGACTTGCTAATAAAGCACAATTTAAAGAGCAAATTATGGTTCTTCTCATTATGATCCATCCTCATTAGTCACATAATTTTTAATAGCAAACTGAAGCCAAGGTTTACGGGACATTTACTTGGGAGTAAAATTCATTGGAATCTTCCACTAAAACAGAGAAACAGACTGTAAGACATAGCAACAGGTCCAAACCATTTTATCAGTTTCAGAATATGTACATTTGAACCCAGGTCCCTCATTTTATGTAGCCTCCAGAGTCTCATTTTGTACTAATACAAGTATCACATTTCTCACTTGTTATTTGCAACAGTACATTTCAATGGTTTAAAGTATTTTATGTAAGCTTGTTTCCGCCATTCCCACAACAGCCCTGCAAAACAGGCAAGTGGGGAGGATGAGACTAAGATCACATGAATTTGCTGCCTGAGCTCACCGGGCAAGTTCCTAGTTAGGGTGAACTAAAATGAGGACTTCAATGCTTGCATGATTTACTCATATCACTTCAAAAGCTTTCCAGAAGAATTTTCTGCACCTACTTTTGCCCCAGTTTTCACTTGAAAGCAAGAGTGAAATTAAAATGTCCACTATAAAACATTTCATTTCATTCAAATCTAGTTGCATTATAATAAATGGCCATCAAAAGGCATTGAACCAATTGGCTTAATCCAGCAATTTGTTTTTCTTTTTAAAAACAAACCAACCCATCTCTTTGGAGGTAAAACCAGAGTTTCAAGGGAGATAAGACTCACAGCTGAACAAGCATGTTGAGCATGAATTGCAAAACCTTATTTTGCACTGTTGGGGAAAATTAGCTCATCTGCTTAATTTGCTGATTCATGTATTTTATGGCGTATCTTGTTGACATCCAGGACTATTAATTCTATACTTATATATGTGTGTATCTTTCACATCCTCAGTACAAGGCACATTCTGCTGACTAAACAAAGAAAATACCTGGGGATCCAGTTCTGTTTTGGGATACATGAAGTGCACCTACACTGTAGAATTCATTCATTTTGATTCCACTTGAACGTTTGGTGAGGCACAATCACTTTTGGACAGAGAAGGCTAAAGATCTTGTAAAACTCCCATGATTCCATAGTATTGAGCCATGGCTGTTAAAAGTGGTGTAAAACAGCATTAATTTTACTCCGTAGATGCAACCTCTGATATACTATACAACATCGTTTTGACAATCAGGACTATCAATATCACTGACCAACATACACTTTGATACCCCAATTTTTAGACCTGATTCTGGGTATATTTGACCTACTGATTCCAAAAACGGTACAGGTTACCTCCTCTAATCTTTGAGATTCAGGACATATGTCATATGTCCTGAATCTCTTCATCTGTTCACCCATAAGAAATCAGTGCAACCATATCTAAGAACAGCAGGCTTTTAGGAATTGTGAGAGTTGAAGTTCAAAACACCTGGAGGGCTGAAGTTTGCACATGCCTGCTTTAAAATGTATCTGTTCTGACTTACATACATCTTCGTAACCTGGGGACTGGCTGTATACCATTACACACATATGTAGGGTTCAAGTATCCCAGCGAAATATGCCTCGTACTGGAGGTCTGAGGAATGTATATACATAACTTTGTTCTGCCAATGAAACATGCCTTGTACTTGAGGTTTAAAGGATATATTGTATATACCTATCTTTGTACAGCCAGTGAAATATGCCTTGTACTGGAGGTCTAAGGGATGGATATACATATCTTTGTACAGCCAGTGAAATATGCCTTGTATTTGAGGTTTGAGGGATGTACTCTATATACCTATTTTTGGACAGCCAGAGAAATATGTCTTGTACCGGAGGTCTGAGGGATGTATATACATATCTTTGCACATACAAGAGGTTTGAGGGATATATATACAACTGGAGGTTTGAGGGAGGTCTATACCTATCTTTGTAGATCCAGCAAAATATACCCTGTACTGGAGGTCTGAGGGATGTATATACATATCTTTGCACATAATAATAATAATACTTTATTTATACCCTGCTACCATCTTCCCAAGGGACTCGGTGCGACTTACATGAGGCCAAGCCCGCAGTACATCAATAACAAGAGCAATAACAAAAACAATCAATACAATACAATTAATATACATCACATAAAAATAAACAACAACACACAAGCTTTTAAAAACCAATGGCCAGGCCAAATGTAATACTTTACAATTTAAAAAATAACGCTGTGCATGAACAAGGTAGGATATAACTGATATAGGGTTTTCAAAGAGAGATGAGGGAATGCATACATACAGGAGGTTTGAGGGATATATACACAACTGGAGGTTTGAGGGTGGTATATACCTATCTTTGTACAGCCAGCGAAATATGCCTTGTACTGGAGATTTTAAATATGCCTTGTACTGGAGATTTTAAATGTGTGTTGTGCTATTGTTCAATGTTTATGCTTATGTATGAGATTTATTATTATTATTATTATTATTATTATTATTACTTTATTTGTACCCCGCTAGCATCTCCCAAAGGACTCGATGCGGCTTACACAGGCCAAGGCCTCAAAAACACAATACAACAATACAATACCTAAAGCAAATTAAAAATAGTTAAGCAGAATAAACAACAAACAATAAACAATACATCAAGACACTATAAAACTGGGCCGGGCCAGAGAATGGGTACAAGATTAAAAGTGCTGATGTGGCAGGAGGTATGTAGGATTATAAGTAAGTGCAGTGTGCGGTGTGCAGTACTCTTAGTTCTACTAAAGTGCTTCTAGGACTTGGTATTGGAGGTTCCTAATCTGAGAAGGCACATCGGAACAGCCAGGTCTTCAAGTTCTTTCTGAAGACTGCCAGTGTAGTGGCCTGTCTAAGATCTCTTGGGAGGGCGTTCCAGAGTCGGGGGGCCACCACAGAAAAGGCCCTGTCTCGAGTCCCCACCAAGTGCACTTGCTACGCAGGCGGGATCACGAGCAGGGCCTCTCCAGATGACCGAAGTGAAGGCGTGGGTTCGTAGACGGAGATGCGGTCACGCAGGCAGGGTGGTCCCAAACCGTTCAGGGCTTTGTAGGTAAGCACCTGCACCTTAAATTGGGCTCGGAAAATAAATGGCAGCCAGTGGAGCTCCTTGAACAGGAGGGTTGACCTCTCTCTGTAATGAGCCCCAGTTAACATCCTGGCTGCTGACCGTTGGATCAGTTGGAACTTCCGAGCCGTTTTCAAGGGCAGCCCTACGTAGAGCGCATTACAGTAATCCAATCTAGAGGTGACCAAGGCATGGACCACCCCGGCCAGATCAGCCTTCGCAAGGTATGGTCGCAGCTGGCGCACAAGTCTCAATTGTGGAAAAGCCCTCCCAGACACTGCCGACGCCTGAGCCTCAAGCGTGATTGCTTTGCATTAGTATTAGTATTTTGCTTTGTATTGTGGTTGTACTGCTTGTATTGATGTGTTGTGGGCTCAGCCTCATGTAAGCTGCACCGAGTCCCTTGGGGAGATGGTAGCGGGGTATAAATAAAGTTATTATTATTATTATTATTATTATTATTAGGTCTTGTGGATGTATATACATATCTTTGCACATACATGAGGTTTGGGGGATATGTATACACAACTGGAGGTTTGAGGGATGTATATGCCTATCTTTGTACAGCCAGTGAAATATGCCCTGTACTGGAGGTCTGAAGGATGTATATATATATATATATATCTTTGCACATAGAGGAGGTTTGAGGGATATGTATACACAACTGGAGGTCTGAGGGGTGTATATGCCTATCTTTGTACAGCCAGCAAAATATGCCCTGTACTGGAGGTCTGAGGGATGTATATGCATATCTTTGCACATACAGGATGTTTGAGGGATATATATACACAACTGGTGGTTTGAGGGATGTATATGCCTATCTGATATGCTGGCTGCATGAAGGACACTAAGATCATCTGGGGAGGCCCTGCTCTCAGTCCCGCCTGCATCACAGGCGCGCTTGGCGGGGACGAGAGACAGGGCCTTCTCAGTGGTGGCCCCTCGGCTGTGGAACGCCCTGCCTGCAGATATCAGATTGGCCCCCTCCCTGCTGGCGTTTTGGAGGAAAGTGAAGTCCTGGCTGTTCGAACAAGCATTCAATTAAACAGTGTAATTGAACATAGGAATATGGGATAATGGATGACGAAACTGGATTCTGATTTTACTGTTGAGGCGCTAATGATTGTTATACTGATGTTAATGATTTATGTGATAATTGTTTTTAATTGCCCTATACTTGTTTTGTGATATTTTGTACTGATGTTGTTCACCGCTTTGAGTCGCCTGAGGGCTGAGAAAAGCGGTATAGAAATAAAGTAAATAAAATAAATAAATATGCCCTGTACTGGAGGTCTGAGGGATGTATATACATATATTTGCACATAGAGGTGGTTTGAGGGATATATATACACAACTGGAGGTTTGGGGGTTGTATATACATATCTTTGTGCGGCCAAGTCCCTCAAACCTGCAGTACAAGGCATATTTCGCGGGCTGTACAAATATATTTGGGTACTTGAACCCTTGCACAGACCTATATCCCTCCCACTTCCGGGGCCAGGTATGTTCTGCTGCCTGTTCAGAGAAGATCCTTGGGAAACCTGGACCCTTGAGGCCTGAGCAGCGCCTGAGACAAGTGGCCAGGCGGGGCCTCTTTCCCGGCCGCCCTTCCTTGCTTACCTGGGTGAAGTAGAGGTTCAGGAGGGTGAGGGTGAAGAACTGGAGGCAGACGGGGAAGCAGTAGAGGAGCCAGAAGGCGAAGGGGCCGAGGGAGTTGGCGGCCACGAAGTCCTTGAAGTAGAAGGAGAAGAGCACCGCCCGCAGGGAGGCCCAGAGCAGGCAGAGGAAGAGGAAGACCGTCTGGTAGCTGAGGCGCTTGTGCCGGTAGTGGAGGACCAGCCAGAGCTGCGCGTAGACGAAGAGGAAGAGGACGGAGTAGAAGACCGTGTAGACCAGCGTCAGCCCCAGCTTCACGAAGGGAGGCACGGCCGGGCTCAGCGTCGGAGGGAAGGTGTCGTTCCTGGCCGGGTCCCGCTCCGAGGCCTCCATCTCGGAGGCTCAGGCTCACCGGGGGCTCGCCTCTCCCTTCTCGCCGCCGCCGCCACCGCCTACTCCTCCTCCTCCTCCCTCGGCTTTCATCTTCGGCAGCGGAGGAGCCGAAGGAAAGAAAACAAGCCGCACTTCCTCTTGGGCTGCTCCCGGGGGGCGGGGAGAACAAGGCCCGCCCCCCATCCCGCCCTCTCTCTCGCCCTCCCTCCCTGTCAGCGGGCCGCCTCCCTCTGCGGTTGCCGAGGCAACCCCAGGCCTAACCCAGCCCCGGACTGGACAGGCCCCGCCCACGGCAGTTGTCAAGGCAACGCCAGGCCTAGTTTGGGCAACCGAAAGCAGCCGCCTGGCTCCAGTTTTGACTCTTGGCTACTGAAAAGAACCGAATAGACGAGGCATGGGCAAACTTGGGCCCTCCAGGTGTTTGGGACTTCAACTCCCACAATTCCTAACAGCCTCAGGCCCTTTCCTTTTCCCTCTAAGCGGCTTCATGGATCCGTCCCTCCAAATGTCCTCCCAGGTAGATGCGACTGTCAGGAGTGCTTACTACCAGCTTCGGCGGATACACCAACTGCAACCCTTCCTAGATTTGCAGGACCTGAAGATGATAGCGCATGCGCTGGTAGCCTCAAGGATGGACTTCTGCAATGTGCTTTACATTGGGCTACCCTTGTACCAAGTTCAGAAACTCCAGCTAGTTCAAAATAGCTGGAGGAGCAGGGCCTTCTCGGTGGTGGACCCTCACTTGTGGAACTCACTCCCGGGAGAAATTAGGGCATCAACATCCCTCCTCTCCTTCAGGAGGAAAGTAAAGACGTGGTTGTGGGACCAGGCCTTTGGGCAATCTTGACAACTAGATAAGGACAATCAAACGACTAGGACTGACAGGACTGACAATGTGGAATTGGAAATTGGACTATGAGATAGTGAACGCTGACCATCTATGAGGAGTAATTGAGATTGTATTGTTTTATTGGTTTTAGGGTTGTAATGTAGGAATTGTTGTTTAACTGTTCAACTGTTTAACTGTTTAATTGATGTTATTTTGTTTTACTACTGTTATGTGATGCTGGCATTGAATTGTGCCTTTGTAAGCCGCCCTGAGTCCCCTTCGGGGTGAGAAGGGCGGGGTAGAAGAAACCGAAATAAGTAAATAAATAAATAAATAAATAAATAAAATACAGCAGCCAGGAGTGAACATATTACACCTATTTTAAAGTCACTCCACTAATTCGTTTCTGAGCAAAGTACAAAGTGTTGTACTTCAAGGTCCAGTGCCTATGTGTGAAAGAGGCATCAAGGGTCATATTGAAAATATACATTACACAATGGAGCACACTAAAGAATTTCAGAAAAGGGAAGTTTACAGCAGGAAAAGCAACTAATTTGAGATGGACTGCCAGAAGGAAGGAAGGAAGGACTTTATACTTTTCCTGGATATCAGGGGGTTGGACTAGATGACTCACGTGATCTCTTCCAACTCTGATTCTATGAAAGAGGTCATAGAGCAAATAAAGGCTTTAACCCTCCCTGGAAGCTGCGTAGTCTGAGACTGTTGGACGTATCATGAGACGCATCATGAGAAGACATGACTCACTAAAGACAAGCTCCTAGATCCCTTTCACAGGGACTGTTCTCAATTCTGGGTCTCCCATCCTTTGTCTTTATTGTATTGTACTGTGTGTTTATTTTATATTCTGTTTTCGGTACTTTGTGCCTTATGTAAGCCACCCCGAATCCCTTCAGGGAGATGGAGGCGGGGTACAAGAATAAAATTGTTGTTGTTGTTGTGTCTGTGCATTTTATATTTATTGCCTAAGTGTATTATTATTATTATTATTATTATTATTATTATTATTATTATTAACTTTATTTATACCCCTCCTTTCTGGGGACTCAAGGCAGCTAAGAATCCCACACTTATTGAAATTTAAATTCGCAATTCAAAAGTTAAAAAACAATTAAATAGGAACAGTGCAGTAGCAGATTCAAATACAATTTGTTGTTGTTAATTCGTTCGGTCTCTTCCAACTCTTTGTGACCTCATGGATCAGCCCATGCCAGAGCTCCCTGTCAGCTGTCACCCCCAGCTCTTTCAAGGTCAAACCAGTCACTTCAAGGATGCCATCCATCCATCTTGCCCTTGGTTGACCCCTCTTCCTTTTTCCTTCCATTTCCCCCTGCATAATTGTCTTCTCTAAGCTTTCCTGTCTTCTCAATATGTGGCCAAAGTACTTCATCTTTGCCTCTAATATCCTTCCCTCCAATGAGCAGTCGGGCTTTATTTCCTGAAGTATGGAGTGGTTGGATCTTTTCCCGGTCCAAGGTCAAATACAATAAATACACTTAAAATACCCCCCCCCCCCCCCCAAAACACCATCCACATCTCCCCAATACCTGCCCTTTATCCTTGGACCTGCCTGTTGTACCTGTTGAAATTCATTTAAATTCGGTTATAACAGAAAATAAAGAGGAAGAGGCTGCAAGTAAAATCTGTGATTGGATGCATGTAGACAACTTGTCACCATTCAGATATATTTGAACTCTCATCATCTCTTGCTATTGGCTGTGAAAAACTGGTGTAAGGCCACCCCTATTCAAATTATCCATCACTGCCTTAGATCATAGTCTAATTAAATATTAACACAGATTCTGTTTAGAATATTGTATTTATTGTCTCTAGGTGGTAGCAATGATTAAAATAATAGTGATGATTTTGTAAGTGATTCACTATCATGTAAACCCAAACCATTGTCACTGAAGGACCTCTTGAGAGTGTTCTATTGAAAATATTTTTTCAATGCTTTCTTTAGCAAGATGATCCCCTGACCTTTTGTTCTGTGATGTTTTCACCTTGAGAGAGAAAAAAAATCAAGGCACACCCTTGATGTGTGAAAGCCTTTGAAGAGTTGTTTTCACCTCCTCCAGAATTTGAGAAGAGCTTGACTCTTTCTGTGATGTTTGCAAGAGCAAAGGGGGCTGACATTTCTAGGTCATATAATTGCAGGGGTGCTTTCAGATCAAGCTTTTATTACACAATTGCCCTATCTCTTTCATGGAATTTTACAGGGTCCCATATGAAAACATCTTCCAAGTGTAATTGTCTCATGTTTTCACATCACTTGACCTATCTTTTCCTTTCAAAATACAAACAAACACAAAAATGAGGAAGAAAAGATTGCTATTTCTGTTCATAGCTAAAGCATTCATTAGTCAAAGTGGACCCAAGATTTATTGTCAGCCTTAGGGCCCTTCCACACAGCCATATAACCAGAATGTTGTTGTTCATTCGTTCAGTCGTCTCCGACTCTTCGTGACCTCATGGACCAGCCTACGCCAGAGCTCCCTGTCGGCCGTTACCACCCCCAGCTCCCTCAAGGTCAGTCCAGTCACTTCAAGGATGCCATCCATCCATCTTGCCCTTGGTCGGCCCCTCTTCCTTTTGCCTTCCACTTTCCCCAGCATAATTGTCTTCTCTAGGCTTTCCTGTCTCCTCATGATGTGGCCAAAGTACTTCAACCTTGTCTCTAGTATCTTTCCCTCCAGTGAGCAGTCGGGCTTTATTTCCTGGAGGATGGACTGGTTGGATCTTCTCGCAGTCCAAGGCACTCTCAGAACTTTCCTCCAACACCACAGCTCAAAAGCATCGATCTTCCTTCGCTCAGCCTTCCCTAAGGTCCAGCTCTCACATCCGTAGGTTACTACAGAGAATACCATGGCTTTGACTAGGCGGATCTTTGTTGCCAGTCTGATGTCTCTACTCTTCACTATTTTATCGAGACTGGACATTGCTCTCCTCCCAAGAAGTAAGCGTCTTCTGATTTCCTGGCCACAGTCTGCATCTGCAGTAATCTTTGCACCTAGAAATACAAAGTCTGTCGCTGCCTCCACGTTTTCTCTCTCTATTTGCCAGTTCTCAATCAATCTAGTTGCCATAATATTGGTTTTTGTGATGTTTAACCATATACCAGCTTTTGCACTTTCTTCTTTCACCTTGGTTAGAAGGCTCCTCCTCTCTTTTGGCCATCAAAGTGGTATCTTCTGCATATCTAAGGTTGCGAATGTTTCTTCCAGCAATTTTCACCCCAGCTTTGCATTCATCAAGCCCCGCACATCGCATGATGTGTTCTGCATACAAGTTAAAAAGGTTGGGTGAGAGTATGCAGCCTTGCCGTACGCCTTTCCTAATCTTGAACCAGTCTGTTGTTCCGTGGTCAGTTCTGACTGTTGCTACTTGGTCCTTGTACAGATTCCTCAGGAGAGAGACAAGGTGGCTTGGGATGCCCATCCCACCAAGAACTTGCCACAATTTATTATGATCCACACAGTCAAAGGCTTTAGAATAGTCAATAAAACAGAAATAGATGTTTTTCTGAAACTCCCTGCCTTTCTCCATTATCCAGCGGATATTGGCAATTTGGTCTCTCATTCCTCTGCCTTTTCTAAACCCAGCTTGTACATCTGGCAACTCTCTCTCCATGTATTGCTGGAGTCTTCCTTGCAGGATCTTGAGCATTACCTTACTGGCATGAGAAATAAGGGCCACTGTACGGAAGTTTGAGCAGTCTTTCGCATTTCCCTTTTTTGGTATGGGGATATAAGTTGATTTTTTCCAGTCTGATGGCCATTCTTGTGTTTTCCATATTTGCTGGCGTATGGCATGCATCACCTTGACAGCATCATCTTTTAAGATTTTAAACAGTTCAGCTGGGATCCCGTCATCTCCTGCTGCCTTGTTGTTAGCAATGCTTCTTAAGGCCCATTCAACTTCACTCCTCAGGATGTCTGGTTCTAATTCATTCACCACACCGTCATAACTATCCTCAATATTATTATCCTTCCTATACAGATCTTCTGTATAGTCTTGCCACCTTCTCTTGATCTCTTCAGCTTCTGTTAGGTCCCTGCCATCTTTGTTTCTTATCATACCAATTTTTGCCTGAAATTTACCTCCAATGTTTCTAATTTTCTGGAAGAGGTCTCTTGTCCTTCCTATTCTGTTGTCTTCCTCCACTTCCATGCATTGCTTATTTAAAAATAGTTCCTTATCTCTT